CTCTGAGCATCCCGAGCATCACGCAGGGCACCACGGAGCATCGCCTGGATAACCCCAAGCATCCTCCTGGAGCACCCTGAGCATCCTCTGCATAACCCTAAGCATCCTCCAGAGCATCCCAAGCACCATCCGAATAACCCCAAGCATCACCTCGGGTACTGCAGAGCATCCTCTGGATAACCTGAAGCATCCCTGGAGCATTCCTTCCCGGCTCACCCGGAGCATCCCCCAGCCCACTCCGTCTGATCCATCCCTGCATCCCAGCGAAATGCTCAACGTGATGGATTTCTCCTGCTCGGACCCGTTGTATTCCAAGTACGAGGAGAGCTGCGAGATGAAAGCCGGGGACCTGCAGGGCTTGGGGCAGCCTGAGCAGCAACTTCTGGAAGAGGCCGAATTCCTCGGAGGTAAGGGCAGGGCCGGGGGCACCCTGCTGGGACTGCATTCCTCTGCCTGGAACGGAGCTCATCCCCTCCTCTGCCCTGCAGCCCAGGCAGTGCCCAGGGTGGGGGTGGGGAGGTGAAGCCCAGGGCTCCCTGTGCGTCCCCGGGGGGAGGGGGGGGGGGGAGGGAAACCACACAGTGACGCACCATCCGACTCCCACCGTTCCCTCGCGTCTCCCGGCCTGCACCCCATTATCTTCCTAACGCTTTCCATCCTGCATCCCCAGGTGAGCTGCTGGAATACCCCCCCCTGGGCAGCCAGCTGTCCCCCTCGCTCAGCTACACCGGCAGCTTCTTCATCAAGGCTGTGCCTGAGCACCCCCAGGACCAGGAGTCCCTCTTCAACCTGATGTCAGGGATCTTGGGCATCTCCCCCTTCGCCACCTCTGAAGGCCACCAAAGACACCTGGATGCGCTCTATCCCTGTCCTGAGGTGGCACCCAACCAGATGGACATCTATCCCAGCTGCCAGCCTGAAATGAGTGGCTCCATGCAAGCCCCCTTCGCCGAGCAGAGCTACGGCAGCTTCCCCTCTGCGGACGCCGTGCACCCGCTGCAGCCTCAGCCCTCCTTGGGAACCACCTCCCAGTGCTTCTTCGAGAGCAAGCTGCTGGACACCAAGCAGGACATCAAGCTGCCCTCCAGCTCCACAGCGCTGGATAAGTTCAAAGCCCCCTGTGCCCAGTGGGAGCCCATCACCCCGCATCAACCCTTCCTGCCCACCGGCTTCCATCCCACCGAGACCTTCCCAGCGGGGGAGAGCGGCCAGGCCATGTTCCATCCATTGGGCTCCAAGATGGAAAATGCGCTGACCATCAGCTGCCAGGCAGAGCTCGGAAGCCTCACGGAGGATCCTGGCTGTTTCCCCAGCACCAATTTGGGTTTTGGCTGTGAGCCGGAAAACTTTGCTGATACCAAAATCCAGAACCTCCCTGCCCAGCTGATGCCGGAGTTCGACTCTTCCTTGGCACAACCCGACGTCCTTCCAGGTCTGATGGGCTCCACCGAGATCCTCCATCCCCATCCCTCGCCTTCGGTGCCCCCCACGGACTTTTTAGGCCACCCCGTGCCAACCTCCGTCCCCTCCCTGCTGCCCACCCCTCCTACCTTAGCCGAGCCCAAGAAGAAGACGCGCCGCACCAAGTGCTCTTCCAAATGCTTCTGCCCCAAACCCCACGAGAAAGCCTTCGCCTGCCCAGTGGAGAACTGCGTGCGGAGCTTCGCCCGCTCCGATGAGCTCAACCGGCACCTGCGCATCCACACGGGCCACAAACCCTTCCAGTGCCGCATCTGCCTGCGCAACTTCAGCCGCAGCGACCACCTCACCACCCACATCCGCACTCACACGGGTGAGAAGCCCTTCTCCTGTGACACCTGCGGGCGGCGCTTCGCCCGCAGCGATGAAAAGAAGCGACACAGCAAAGTCCACCTGAAGCAGAAAGCGCGGACGGAGGAGAAGCTCAAAGGCTTGGGGTTCTTCTCGGTGGGTCTCTCCTTCGGCACGCTGTGAAAGCCCCATGTTGGTGATGGGAGGTGGTGTTTCCCAATAGAGGACGTCGAACGTCCCGTGGAAGAGCATCCCGTGGTGGGAACAACCTGGAGGTGGTGCAGCCGTGGAGAAGGTGCCAGTGAAGGTTGCCGCAGAAGGAGCGCTGGGGAGGAGAGGTTGGGACCGGGCAGCGCTGGACAGAACGACTCACATTGCCATAAAATCAAGGAACGGTTGGTTGGAAAAGACCTCTAAGATCATCGAGTCCATCTGCCACCAAGACTTTCCACCATTACCACTGCAATCAACACCTCCAGCCAATGGAGCCATCTCCAACCTGCAGAGACTGAGTCATCCCTACAGCTCCTCTTCCAAGGAGGAAAACAGGGCCGAATACAGTGTACAGAAGGGGATTACCCACCGTTTTTATACTCACGGACACACGGGCTGGGGCTGCGTTTGCAGCAAGCTGTGCCTCGCCTGCATTGCACGCGGCGCTCCGGGCTCAAGGAGTGCTTTGCCAATGGAAGGCAGTGGCAGAGGAGCGGGCGCCGCGCGGCTTCGCGATGGAGAGCGGTGAGCGGCGGCGCCCCTTTAGGAACGGTGATGGTCGTAATTAAGGTTATAAATATTTTCCTGTTTGTAAAAAGAATCTATCAGGACTATCGCAGAGCCGTGTCTATTTTTATAATTAAAGCTTTGTTCTCATCCCAGCTCTCTCTGCCTTTCAAAACCCGCGACGGCCGTGGGATTTCGGCTGCGTTTTTTTTTTGTTTTGACCTTTAGCTGCCACATCACGGGGGAGGGGGGGAAAGGGCCCAAATAACTGAGCATGGAGGGGAAACCCATCAGCAGGGATGGAGAACCCATCAGCGGGGATGGCCTTCATCCCCCTGTCGCAGGGTGGGCAGCTCTGTCCCAAGGCACAGAGGGGAAGGGGTTCTCTGCAAGAAGGACGCCGTGGCTCTGGGTTGCTTTGCAGGGAGCAACGTGGCTGCGGATGCTGTGCCCTGGGCACCAGCCCAGCGCTGCTCCTGGAGGGATTTGTCCTACTTGGAGCCCCGCAGTCGGCTCAGCCTCGGGCGGCCCCAACCCGCGCTCCCTGCCGTATTATGGGGGCACTGTGGGGCTGTGCTGCGGGAAGGAGGCACGGACACGGCATCCCGGGGGTCTCGATGCAAGCGGTGGAAAGGATGCGTGCCTCTGAGCACCAGCAAGGCTTGGGTAGAGGGCAAGAAGGAGGCATCCTGCAAGAAACGGGGGGAAAATGGGCCTCAGGGATGGAGGTTATTTTTCTCCTCGTTACCATCTCAGAAAATTGGCGATCTGAGCCAAAACTGCTTTACGGAGGAATAGAGATTTCCTGCTCCATCCTCGGTATCCCTCAGCTTCTTTGTTGGCGTTTGGGCTGCAGCATCCTTCCTGGGATGAGGGACACTGTTATGAGGGACACCGTTATCCCGTGTTCTTCCCACAGAGCCCCCTGCCCCACACCATGGGGTGGCTGTGGGTGGGAAATGAATTTGGGAACTTGGACGAAAGGTCTTTCAGGGCTGCGGAGAGGTGGAATGTGGACAGTTGTACCTGGTGCCCTACGTCCTAAAAGTCTCCTTGCACCTGTCCTTAAGTCTCAGGCCCCCATTGGCACCCAAGGGTGCTCATCCCCTCTGGGTGCTCTCCTGCTGGCACCCACTGCAGCACCACACCAGGAGAGGGCACACGCAATTCCCACACGCCACTCAGCCATGCATCATGCATGAGGCTTTATTAATACCCCTCCCAAAGTTCATCCATTATTGATGAGAGCCTGAAAGCTCTGCAAAAGCTCTGGGCTCTGTAAAGCCTCCAAGCTCTGCTCCATGAGCGGAGCTATCGAGGGAGGAAGGGATGGAGGATGCAGCTGACACAGGGCAGGATGGGGGCAGGTTGTACCCCAACCTTTCAGGGTTTCTTGGGCATGGGGGCAGCTGCTTGTCCCCCGGGATGGTCTCCCCATGCCATCTCCCCAGAGCTGTGTTCACAAAGAAAGGAACACCAAAGCTGGGTGGCTTTGGCACCAAGGACCAAGCTGGAGTGCTTGGGGCTGGAGGAGGAATAAGGCAAGGGCCGCTGTGGGGTGCTTGGGGACAGATCAGAACCAAGCCGAGGTCCAAGATGAGATTTTTGGGTTGGGACTACATGGTCTTTGAGATCTTCCAACCCAAGGAATTCTCTGATACCGGACCATGATCCAGGCCAGGACTCTACTAAGAACCAGACAATGACTGAGGTTGGTGTCTCAGGCTCCAGATCAGGACAAAGCTGGGCGCTCAGGGACCAGACCAGCACCAAGATGGGGAGCTCGGTGTTTGGGATCCAAGCCAGGATGCTCAGGGACCAGCTTAATCTGTTTGGGGACCAGATTATGACCAAGCTGAGATGCAGCCTGGATCACTCAGATCTGGATGGAGACCAAGCCTGGGGACTGCCTGGGAGTTTGGGCTCAGGAATCAGAGCAGGACCAAGTCCAGGATCAAGCCAGGATGCTCAGGGACCGTTTCAGGACCAAGCCGTGTTCCTTGCGCCCACGGATGGGGGACGCAGTGGTGCAGATGCCCACGGCCACCCGCCCATGGGATGCTGTGGGGGAGGTGCTGAGCGGCAATCCCAGGCGGCTGCTGCCGAGGGCAGGGAATGGCTGTGGGGGGGCAGAAGAGAGGAAGGGCGGGCAGGAGGGATGCGTGTTGGGGAATGCGGGTGCCGCATGGCAGCGAAGCCCGGCGGAGGGCCCGCGGTGTTCGTGGGGAGACAGGCAGAGGGAGCTGTGCGGGAGGAAAGCAGCAGCGAGCGGCACTCCGAGCTGCAAAGGAGGAGGAGGCGGCGGCTGCGGGCGCTCCATCCCTCCATCCTGCCGTCCCTCCTTCCTCCATCCCTCATCCCTCCATCCATCCCTCCATCCTCCTCCCGCTCCCCATGCGCAGCCCCCCCTGAGCCCCCGCTCCCTCCTCCCAGCGGGGCCTTCAGCCTCTGCCCTCCTCCTCCTCCTCTTCCTCCCGCCCCTCCCGCTCCCCCCCCTACACCCTCCCCCCGCTCCCTCTCCTTCCCCGGCCCCATGGAGGTGCTGCCCGCGGGGAGCCGGATGCCGGGGACCCCGCATCTCTCCTCCCCGACAAAGCCCTGAGCCGCTTCGCAGACGCAGCCTTTGTGCACTGGGGCGCTCCCTGAGCCCCCCCCCCACACACACACACATACACTCTTATTCTCGAGGATAAGGGAAAAGAGAGAGAGATGCTGCCCTCGCCGGAGGAGCCCGGAGAAGCAGGTATGAAGCAGAGGATGCCGAACTGGGAGGAGGTGGTTTGTCCCCAAAGCAGGGGGGGGATGCGATGGGGACAAAGCTGGGAGGAGAGGGGGACCCGCCGGTGGGGTTCAGCCATCCTTGCCCCCACCCTGCCTTCACTGCAGCCCTAAGGATGGGGACCGGCATCCTCCACCCTCCTTCCACCAAGCAGCTGGAGATCGATGGTCTCTTTATTTGATTTTGTTTCGAGGAGGGGGGGGGGGGGGGGGGGGGGGAATGGGGAAAGAAAAGAAAAGAAATAAGGCTCAACAACGCGATGAAAGGCTCCATGATGGATCGCAGGTAGCAGCACCCGAGCAGCCCACAGCTGTGGGGTTTTCTGCCATCTCTGAGAGCGCTGCTCAGCTTGGGGGGGGGGGGGAGGAGGAAGGGAGGGAGGAGGGAGTGAGGGATGGTGGTCTCCTTCAGTCTATTTTTCATCGTTATTTTGGGGTTGGGAAGGAGGAAGGTTTGTACTGACTCACGGCCGTGCCCAGGGCTGGGACCATGCGGCGTTCAGAGCAGCCTGGGCTGGATGGTGGCTCAGGGCTGGAGAACACAGAGCGAGGCGGGTCGGCACCCCGGGAGCCGCGGGCAGCGATCCAGGCCTGGAATATCAGCACTGCACGATGCTGTGGCCCCAGCCCTAAGGGTAGAAAAATGCTTTATCATCCCACCAAAGGCGACCGATGGAAAGCAGGTTGGCTTTGTGCTGGGTGGGCTCAGCCAGGCGGGGTTAACATGAGGGGATGCGTTTTGTAACGACCCCAAAATACAAACCAGGCCAGCAGACAGCTGCAGGAGCAGCCAGGCAGCTCCATACATCCTCCCAGCGCATCTCTGATGTGCTTTATTATTACTGTCATTACCATCATTGTATTTTTACGTGGATTTCTTTCCCTTCCTGATTTTTCCCTAGAAGAAAAACGGTTTGGAGGGGTGTGTTGAGCCACCCTGGGGATGGGTGGAGGTTCAGTGATGGATTATCCCCTCAAAGTTCCATGGTTTTGGGGTATGGAGGGGTCTCAGGGCGATGGGATTTACCTTTTGCAGGATATGGCTGGGGATGTTGCCACACTGCTTCCCCTCGGTGCTCTGGGGAGGGCAAAACCACCATGGTGTCTCTTTGGGGTAGAAACACGCTGTTTTATTTCAAGCTGGAACACCGTTGCCAGGCCAGTGGTTTCACGCATGGTGACGACCTGAAATAATTAAACTAAATTCCTCGAGAGAGAGAAGGAGGCCATAGCTGGATGCTCCCAGCCCTGTGCGGTGCTGGTGGCTGGGTTTCAGCTGGCTTCTCCCATTTCCCAAAGGCTTGGTTGCCCCCTGATACTTTGGAGGGTTTGGGAGCAGTGGATAACCCCACAGAGAGCCTCCCTGCAGCACTGCAGCGTAGGGGTCCCACAGACCTGGAGGGGGGTTTTGAGACCCAAAACCTCATGGGGAGAAGAGATCCTTCGTTGTGGATGTCGCATCTCCGTATCACATCTTTGGGGTGAATCTGGGTCTTTATGCCCAAGCAGCAAACGGGCCAAACCTGATGGGTCTGGGTTGGCCTGGGGGGAAAATGGGATGGAGGAGCATCGGCTGAGCCTGCAGCAAAGAGGGAATGGGAGAGGGACAGCCCAGCACCCATGGGGTGATGCCATCATAGGTGTGAAATGGGGACATCCCCAAGGCAGTGATGGGACTTAATGGTTGTGGTGAGGAGCTGAAGAAGTAACTGTGGGAGACAAATTCCTGATGTGAAGCTGCATGATGTAAAATGGCTGGGTTGCCCTGTGCTGGGAGGAAATGAGACTCATCTGGAGACAGGGATGCTCCTTGGGCTGGAGATTCCTGGTACCACAGTGGCTCCTTGCAGCGTGCTTGTGCAGGAGGCACATGGAACACCTCTCAGCAGCAAGCTGAGGGCTGATGGAATGGACAGAGGCTTCCCATGGGTTTTATGACTGTGAATCCTCCCAATGACTGTGAGCTTTCACAAGGGTTGTGCACCTCCCAAAGAGCTTTGGATTTTCCCAAGAGTTGTAGATCTTCCCAAGGGTTGGGGATCTTCCCAAGGGTTGTGGATCTTCCCAAGAGTTGGGGACCTTCCTAAAGGTTGTGGACCTTCCAAAGGGTTGTGGATCTTCCCAAAGGTCGTGGATCTTCCCAAAGGTTGTGGATCTTCCCAAGGGTTGGAGAACTTCCCAAAGGTTGTGGATCTTCCCAAAGGTCATGGATCTTCCCAAGGATTGTAGATGTTCCCAAAGGTTATGGCTATTCCCAAGGGCTGTGGATCTCCCCGGGTGTTGCACACTTTCTTCAGTGCTGTGCACCGTTCCCAGCGTTGTGTTTGAGTGGGAAAAACATGGGAGGGATGCAGACCGGGAACTGAGAAGGACCGAGGAAGGACTTTTGGGGACCCGTCATCCCCGTGTCACTAACACCCCTCTCCCTTCCAGTGCCCAGCACCACCTGATGCCGACATCCCACAAGACTTGCCGGAATCCCGCTCCTGCCCCAGCACTCCCAGCCCGCCATGTGGAGCTGTGACCCCACCGCCCAGCATTCCCCAAGCCATTCTTCTCTCCACCCGTCCGTCCGTCCCTCGCCATGAGCGATGCTGCACGGTTTCCCTGCGCTGGGGCACGTAGCTGAGGGATGGCCTCGTTGGATCTGCCCTACAGGTGTCCGCGGTGCGGGGAGCACAAGCGTTTCCGCAGCCTCTCCTCGCTGCGGGCACACCTGGAGTACAACCACACCTATGAAACCCTCTACGTCCTCTCCAAGACCAACAGCATCTGCGATGCCGCCGTCTTCCCGCTGGCCGCCGACGGGGCCTTGTTGACACCGGCTGCCCGGCGGGATTACTTTGAGAGCACCTCTTTCCAAGGCAAAGATCAGCGCTTCTCCTGCGACCTCGTCCCCGCCGAAGAGTTGGAGCCGGCTCCATCTTCCTCCCCTTCGCCTCGTTATGTCCATGAGATTGAGATCCCACTGACTGAGATCTTCACCCGGGGCAAGGCTGTGGCTCCAGCCCCAACGCCGCCAGCCGCTATGGATGCAGCCTACGAGGAAGGCTTGGCTCGCTTGAAGATCCGCGCCTTCGAGAAACTGGAGGTGGACAAGAGGCTGGAGAAGCTGACGGAGGAGGTGGAGCAGAAGATCGCCTCGCAGGTCGGCCGGCTCCAGGTGGAGTTGGATCGCAAGAGCTCGGAGCTGGAGAAAGCCAAGCAGGAGAGCTTGAGGCTCAGCCGGGAGAAGCAGGAGCTGGAGGACCGTGCATCCGAGCTGTCCCGCCAGGTGGATGTCAGCGTGGAGATGCTGGCCTCGCTCAAGCAGGACCTGGTGCAGAAGGAGCAGGAGCTCACCCGCAAGCAGCAGTGAGTGCTTTGTTCCTTCTCCGTGCTGTGGGGTGGGAGGCAATGAGTCCTGGTGGAGAGCTGCAAGGAGCCCAATGCTGTCACCAAACAACGCTCATTAGCACCATCCCTCATTAGGGTTTGCATCTTCCTCCACACGTGGAGGAAGTGTCCATATAGATCTGAGCTCCTCCGTGTTCATGTCCAAGCTCTCATGAGAGATTGCGTCCAAAGCCACCAGAGTCCCATGGCCAAACTGGGGATGCTTATGGCCATCCTGCTGGGGATGCTTGCGGCCACACGGTAGTGCCCACGCTGTTCCGATGGGTGTCCCCCAGACCAGGGCTGGCTCACCCCTGTGGCCCCACAGCTGAGTCATGCTTATGCTCATGGTTATAAAGATGAAGAGGACACCTCGGCCATGCCTGATTCAGGATTGTTCTCCCAGAAGGAGTGGTGTAACCTGAGTAGTAATACCTCAACTCGCTGTTTAAGACTGTGGCATTGCCCTCTTCATTTTCATCCCATGTTGCCCATTCAAACCTCTCTTTCCACTCCAGTGCTGTTCCAGGGATTCCTCCAGTCAAGCTTGGGATCCTTTTGTCCATCAGAGTTTATCACCTAAACAGGACCTTGTTACAAAAGAGTTTCTTAGCAATGCTGGAGGTCGTGGCAGTGCCTATAAAGTCAGTGAGGATCAGGTTAATGGAGGCAGTCACAGTTGTGCTGAACTGGGAGCACTGGTGGGATTCCTCAAGGACCTGTCTTGGTCTTCAGTGTCTTTTACACATTCAGGAATGATTTGGACTCCAATATAATGACTGTGGGTAGGAAACAGTGCTCATGCCCATGGGATTTGTTGGTGTTAGGGATGGTCCTGGGGTGCAGAGCAGGATGATGCCAGGTGCTGGATAAGGACAATAACTCTTGGTTGGGAGGTGGATGTGTGCAGAGCAGGAGATTCAGGGGCTGCCATCAGCTGCCCCATGAGTGTTGGCCAGGGGCATTTCTGGGGTGGGCAGCAGAAGGACAAGAGCCAATGGCATGGACAACTGAGCAGGGCCTGGAGGGATGTGAAGCAGATGGAGTAGGCCGATGGTTCAGATGGGGCTTATTTGGTTCATGCACACTGTTGCCCCCTAAGAACCTAGTTATGCACCAAAGACACCTCTTGGATTTGCATCCCCTTAGAGAAGTCCTCCTGCCCACCCACCATCTCATAGGTCTTCTATGACCACAAAATCCCCCTGGCTTAAATGACTTATTTCCAGGAGGATCAGCTAGGAGGTAGGAAGCTTGTAGCACCCAGTGACATCCCAGAGCCCTCGCTGCAGGCTGGTGACATCTATTGCTGGCAGCCTGTTTGCACCTCAGCTCTGCTGGCTTTGCTGAGGGTGTTTTTCCACCCGTTCCATGGGAATGAGAGATGCAAGAGATAGCCATCAGCATCTCCTTACAGCACCAGCCACGTGCCAGCACCCTATTTGCTCTCCAAAGCTCTGGGGCACCTTGCCAGGAGCCTTCCCAAATTATTGCTGGTGAGCTCACTCTGCAAGCAGCAGGGTTAGGGGCAATTAATTGGTCATCAAACGGCAGTTAATAATCGATGGCACGAATTGCATCTCTATGGGCTGCCTCCTTCTCTTCTTCCTCTTCGTCCTCCGGTTCAGCTCAGTGCACGAGTGTGGCCGGGTGTATTTCTGTTTCCATGGTGCTTCTGCATGCAAGCGTGGCTCTGCGTGTGTGTGTGTGGGTGTGCTCAGCAGCTGTGCATGCCTGAGTGTGCAAACGTGCATTTATGGGGCACAAGCATTTGCATGCATGTGATGGCAGTGTGTTTGATGCATGTGTTTATAGGACTGAAGCAGCACCTCAGCAGGGCAAACCTCATTTACCTGAGTCCATCCATTGGCTCAAGGCTCCCAAGCTCCTTCTAATTAACACATTAATGACAGTGCCTCTGAGGCTGTACCTGCTGGGCATACCAGGGTATAAAGCTGAGCAGGATTCAGACTGCCCATAAGGCTTTTTCCTTAAGTCTGCCCTTCTCACACGAGGCAGAGTGCTTTTCTCCATCATCATGCTACGCCGTCACCATCCATGCTACACTGTCACCATTCTTCTCCCTCTGCTCCATCGCATGGCAACGGGGGCTTAGGCTGGGCTTTGCATCCCAACAGAGGCATTGGAGATGCTGGATCCTCCAAAATGAGGCGGTCACATTCATCCTGCATGCTGGAGCACCTCCTGCTGCCCTGTATGCCCGAATTAGCCCCAGACCAGGCTAGATTCAAGGCACATGGGCATCCCTGGCCAGTCGCATGATGGAAATGGAGTGGGGTTGAGTGGAAGAAGACGCAGTGAGTGGGGATGAGTGTCACTCGCTGTCCCTCTCTCACAGGGAGGTGCTGCAGATCGACCAGTTCCTGAAGGAGACGGCCGCCCGCGAGGCCAACGCCAAGGTGCGCCTGCAGCACTTCATTGAGGAGCTGCTGGATCGGGCGGACCGGGCTGAGAAGCAGCTTCAGATCATCAGCAGCAGCTGTGGAACGACTCCGAACGGCAGTTTGGGACGCTGCGGAACGCCAGGCGCTAAGGCTGCTGGCCGAGCGGTACCCACACGGGCACAGGCACGACCGTGTGGCTTCTCTGGTTCTGGATCTAAAAGGGTTCAGTGGGGAGGGATGGGGGCACCCGTGGGGATAGGGGGGATTCATTAGTGGTCTTGGTTGGTGTCCGGTTGCTACATGCAGTGAACACGGGCAAGGCACGGGGGACAATGCCGGAGATGCACTTGGAAAGTCCAGAACATTGGGTGGGAGGTGACAGCTTCAACCAGGGGAACTTCAGGTTAGGTACTAGGAGAAATTTCCTCTCTGAATGAGTGGTGGGTTAGGATCAGGGTTAATGACAGGCTGCCTAGGGAGGTGGGAGAGTCACTGTCTCTGGAGGTATTCCAGAACCGTGGAGATGTGGCATTGAGGGACGTGGTTAGTGGGCACAATGGGGATGGGCTGGAGCCAGACTTGATCTTAGAGCTCTTTTCCAACATTAATGACTCCGTGAGCCTAAGTCCACCTGCATTTCCCACATCTGATGTATTTCTCCATGTTAGCTCCTATTCTCATCTGTCCCCACAGAGAGACCGGCACCCAGGGCTGGGGGCAGCTGTTCATGGCCCCTATGCCATTCCCAACCAGCGCTCCTCTTCCAGCACTGGGTGAGCGTTTGGGTTTTTATTGGGACAACGGGAAGGGGACACCCACCCTCGGGGATGATGATGAGCACTGAGGTTGGATATCATCAACCGTAGGGCTTCAAGCCGGGCCAAAGCGGTGTCACAGAGCTCAGGCTGCTACGACAGCGACAGCGCAGAGCCGTGTCCCACCGACGACACCGCCGATGGACATCCCTACGCGGCGCGGGACGGCGGTCGGGGCTCAGGGCTGCGGCGTCAAGCCATCCAAAATTGGCACCGCAGACCCTACCGCAACAGCACGGAGGGCGAGGAGGGCGATGTGTCCGACGTGGGATCCCGCACCACTGAGTCAGAGGCTGAGGGCTGGGAGCCGGAGGTGCCTGGCATCGCCGCATCCCGGCCCGCTGGCAGCTGTCGGCTGACGGGTGAGAGTGCAGTGGGGGGGCTCAAGGATGGGGAGGATGCATGGGGGGACGGGATGTCACTGTGATGGGCAATGGCAACACGACACGTGGTTTTCGGTTGTCCTTTTCCTCAACTCCACGTGGAGCATCCCTTTGTCGATGGCACTGATGGCCCCTGTCCCACAGCCAGGTCCGAGGGGGCTATGAGCAAGGGGGGCCGGATGGAGAGGGGCAGCCCGGGTCACTGCAGCGAGGTGATCAGCCCTGAGATCCTCAAGATGCGGGCAGCGCTCTTCTGCATCTTCACCTACCTGGACACCAAGACCCTGCTGAGGGCGGCTGAGGTGTGCAAGGACTGGAAGTTTGTGGCCCGGCACCCGGCCGTGTGGACGCGGGTGCTGCTGGAGAATGCCAGGGTCTCCTCCAAGGTATGGGAACAGGGGTGGCACAGTCTGGGGTGAGACCTCAGAGGTCTTTCTTTCAGAAGGACGAAGCCATTCTCCTGGCTTGCATTGTGTGCCCACGTGTGCAGGGTTCCTGGTGTCACCATCAAAGAGACATCAGTACGCACACTGATGGGTGCACTCGTGCATGAGTGTTTGTGGGCACGGGCCCACCTGTCCTCACATTTCCACATTGTACTCACATCCACCCATAGCTCTATGCATAATTTTGTCCACGCATGCCCTTACGTATGCATTGTCACCAACTTATGGCAGAAACACCCATGTTGTTGTGTGTGCACGTGTGCGCTGCAGGGTGTGCACAAAGGCCCCCCAGATAGCCAAGGGTGGGTGGTTGGGACATCACCGAGGATATCCCCCCGTGACGGCCACCCCTGTCCCCCAGTTCCTGGCCATGCTGTCCCAGTGGTGCACCCAGATGCACTCCCTCACACTCCAAAACCTCAAGCCACGCCAGAGGGGGAAGAAGGAGAGCAAGGAGGACTACATGAAGAGCACGCGGTGAGTCCCCGCGGCCCCGGGCACCCCCAGCACCCCTTCAGAGCTGATGATGTCCCGTGAGCACCGATGGCCCCCCTCCACCAGTGGCCATTCACCACCCAACGGCTCCTGCTGAGGGTTTTGGGCACCGACACCAACACCCACGGGTCACATCACTCTCCGTGGACTTCCAGCAATTAATTCTGCCTCTATCCCTGCAGGGGCTGCCTGGAAGCCGGCTTGGAGTCCCTGCTGAAGGCGACGGGCAGCAACCTGCTGATCCTACGCATCTCACACTGCCCCAACGTGCTGACCGACCGCTCGCTCTGGCTGGCCAGCTGCTACTGCCGGGCCCTGCAGGCTGTCACGTACCGGTAAGGATGGCCCACACAGACCCTGCAGTTCCCCACTGGGAGATGACAAGGAGTATCCCTGCAGTGTGCTGGGACCCCTCTGGTGCCCTTTGCTGTGTCAAGCATCACACAGACTCACTTCTCCGTGTCTCCAGTCCCAGTGTACTCAAGGAACAATGAAAGGTGTTCCTATAACCATCACGCTCTTCTCGCACATTCCCATGCAGTCATTCCCCTTGCTGGTCCATTCCCACCATCCCGTTACCCATCTTGCTCACCTGGCCCAGCGGGGGTCTTGGTACAGGGACACTGCTTTGTGTTAGAGATGGGCAAAGGAGAAGAGCATCAAAACTGGGTCCCAGTGAGGCTTCACCTGATGAGGTCACCATCTGACTGTCACCATCTGATGAGGTTTCCTAATGGGGAGTAGAGAACTTTTGGTCCCTCTGTCTGGGGTTGGAAGCAGATGATCTTTAACAGACCTTCAAACCTGAGACATGCTGTGGTTCTATGATAATTCTGTGACTCTATCCTGAAAAGGAGGATGGCTCTGCTACAGAATCACAAAGACCTGACTTGGAGACCTTGCCCAACAGCAAGGACACAAGGTCCATGGCAGTGCTCAGGACCTGGAGGATATCACAGGCTGCTCCTCAGGCTCGGCCACTTCTCAAGGCCTTCCAAGTGTGCTCAGGGGGCTGCCTTGTGTTGAACCAAGTGAGCTTGGCTGCAGCTCTTGTAACCCCACGCTGCGAGACAGCCTGCTGCCGCCAGGTTTAACCCAAAGATTCAGCCATTGCCCTTCCAAAGGCGTTAGAGCGAGTCCAAGCTCCTGGCACATCATTAACCTGTGATTCTGACTCATGCTCTAATTAACCCGTCACACTCACGAGGAGCTCTTGGCAGGCGCCTTCAATGGGTGTGAAATGGTCACCATAACACCCACCGCTTATTTTCAGGCTTGTCTGAAGTTTCAAAGTAGGTCATTCCAAGTTAGAAAGCGTGGCCTCTGTCTTCAGGATGGAACAGTAAGGAGAGGCCTGGGTTGGTGATCTCAGGACAGCTGTCTTTGACACTGATCCTCAGTGCCTCTTGTCTTTCTTGACGTTGCACATCTGTAAGCACCATTCCTGATGAAAATGGTTGTGTTTTGGTTATACATAATGACCAGCTCCCAGGGCAGCATCACTGCCAGCTGGGCCCACCAGGTATGTTCTGTGTTCACTCCAGGAGCTCTACAGACCCTGTGGGTCATGAAGTCATCTGGGCCCTCGGGGCAGGCTGCAGGGACATCATCTCTCTCCAGGTTGCACCTCTGCATCCCTGGTAAGAGCCACACTGAGCTACTGGGGTTTGTGCTGAACACGAGGGGATCACTGGGAGGGGGAGAAATTGGGTGCCAGATCCACATTGGCTTGTGGGATCCTTGCGAGTTGAACAGTGATCCTGGAGGTCAGCTGGGGGATCAGGAGCTTAGCTCTATCCCCTGCTGCAAAGATGGGGAGCTGTTGAGTAGAGGCACCTCCTTCCCAAGACAGAAATATTTTGAGGAGACTGAACATTGAACATCAAACATTTTCTTCCCCTCCCCAGCCAGCAGCCAACACGTTTCAGCAACCGCTGCCTTCAGATGATTGGGAGGTGCTGGCCACACCTGCGGGCGCTGGGCATTGGTGGGGCAGGCTGTGGTGTCCAGGGCCTGGCATCCTTAGGTAGGTGGCTCTCCTCCAGTGGGACAGGAGAAGGGAACCTTGCTGAGGGCACTGTATACCCCTGAGAGATGCTCTATGATGATCTCAACGGGCAAATCCAGTCCAGTGACCATGGGTGGACTTTGCTCCTCCCTGCTGCCCCCCATCCCTCCTAGCACCCCACTCCCATCAGCTGTCCCCAGCCCTTCCCCATAGGGTGCCAACAGTGGTTCTTTGTCCTTTTAGCCCGAAACTGCATGAGGCTGCAGGTCCTGGAGCTGGACCACGTGGCAGAGATCAACCAAGAGGTTGCGGCAGAGATGTGTCGAGAGGGGCTGAAGGGCTTGGAGATGTTGGTGCTGACCTCCACACCCGTCACCCCCAAAGCTCTGCTGCATTTCAACAGTGAGTAGCAGCTCTGGTGGAGGAGGGACACAGCGTTGTCTGCTGACCAAAAGGCCACCAGATAAAAAGATCCAGTGGGGCTTTACAGCCCTACTGGGAGGAGAACGGCATTGACACTGGGAGGTGCTGGGAACTCCGTGATGGAAGGTTTTTAAGGGGAGACTCAACACCCTTCTCTCAGGGATGGGTCAAGAAGAGCTGGGAGAACACCCATGTGGATGGGATAAAGTTTCACAAGGAAGAGGTGGGGCTGATGAAATGAGATAGGACAACTGGAATCCATCATGGAGGTGGGTCACCCATCCAGAGTAGGTCTACTCTGTCATCAGGATGAGGTTTCCCCAAATATGTAACAATGGGTTGTAAGGTAAATCCCAGATGTTGGGGAAGCTGTCCCCACAGTCATGGCAAATCCAGGTTGTGTCTTTGCTCCCAGGTGTGTGCCGGAACCTGAAGTCCATCGTCGTACAGGTGGGCATTGTGGACTACTTCAAGGAGCCCCACAGCCCCGAAGCCAAGAAGATGTTTGAAGAAATGGTGAACAAACTCCAGGTAAAGGACGCTGGTTCCAGGTCACTCGTGTGCCTGCAGCTCCCTTCCTGTGGGACCCGGGGACAATTTCTTATCCACTGAAGTCACTCCACAGAGAACCTTTTAGCTCACTGGGGATACCTTGAAGACGTGCTCTGCTTCATACACGTCCTGCAGCCAGCTGGGTTCCACAAGGGCACAAGGCCCTAGATGCAGGGCAGGACATGGGGACATGTTCAGCAGCACAGATAGGTGAGCTGAGATGGTTTATGTGGTCCATGCTCTGCTGAGCCCACATGCAGGAGCAATGGTGAGCAGCAACCCCAACCCACATCCAGCCCCAGCCTCAGGGACACTCTATGGAAAAGGAGTTTTGGAAGGTCCTTCCCTGCCCACCACCACGCCATGCAAACCCTGCACATCCATGTCATCTATCACAAGCTATCAGTGTCCCCTGGAAACGGTTGGACTCGATGTGGTCTTTTCCAACCCTAATGATTCTATGATTCTACGAGGTTCTATGAAGGATGTTTTTCACCAAGCAGGAAACAAATCCAGAGTTGGCTTCAAGGGCATGGGGTTAGGAGGCATTGAGGCAGTCCTGTGAGGAAACAGGTCCTCATAGGATGTAGGTGGTGGGGATGGGACCCATTGCCATAGTTGCATGCAAGATGCTCTCCCCTTGCTGGCCCCATAGCACCAGTGCTGGCTCCCACCCCAACCCTGCCCTCTGCTCCTCTTCCAGGCCCTGAGGAAAAGACCCGGCTTCTCCAAGATCTTACACATCAAGGTGGAAGGAGGCTGCTAGACCTTCAGGGAACCACAAAGCACATTCCCTCTCTTGCCCTGTGGAGCCAGAGGCCCTGCACAACCAAACCCATCGCTGCTGCTCCTCCGTTGCCGTTGGAGCTCGGAGATGCCAGCCCATGCACAAAACCCCAAACTCTTGCAGGCCTTAGCGAGCAGCCGGCGCTCGCCGCAGGGCCGGCTCATGGACGTGTCACGGACAAGAAGGTGCTACTCATGGAAATTTTCCAGCTGCCCAAAGGGGCAGGTCCATGCTGTTTCCCAGGAGGGAAGATGGCTTCGAAGCTCATGGCTGCTCATTGCCAAGGATCCTTTGTTTGGGAATGCCTTTTTCTTGGAACTCTCTTTTTTGGGGGGCTGTTTGTTGGCATGGGGGCTGAGGATGGCCCAGCCCATCTCATGGGCTCTTTGCAGAGTGCTGTGCTCAGTGCATCACCACTGGAGTGTCCTTGTTCATTCCATGGGCCGGTGGATGTGGGGTGGGAAGGGCCACTCCTGCAGGGCTCCCGTTCACTTTCATTTCATTTATTTGAGAGGAGCACCCAAATGTGGGTAAATGCTGCCCAGAACCAGCAGCTGTCACAGCACAAGCCCAGATGGCAGAGCTGCATCCTGAAGCTGCAGGAGTCAGAAGACGCTGGGAACAATGGTTGCTCTCCAGAGATCTCCATCCTCTCCACTCAACCCTTCTGCCAAGGCAATAAATCACCACATCCCACATCCTCGTCCACCAGGAAACACGGATCACTCTCCTGCACCCATCAACATCCACCACTCTGGATCGATGGATCCAGATGGATCCAACTCTCTGGAGCGAGTTGTTGTGTGGAGAGAGGAACTGGCCTGGGCTTCACCTTTGTCACCTCATCGGGCAGCATGAAGGAGAAACCTTGGCCAAATAATCCTGACATCCAATGCAGCTGGTTGAAGTATCAGCCCAACTGCCTTGGTAGAGCCCATATCGATATCCACAGCTTATTTTATTTCTGGTTTTTCCTTCTGGCTATCTTCTTCCTTCAAGGACGTTACCCCATCTCCCCTCAAACGCTCATCTTTTTTTCCAAAGGAAAAAAGGCTCTTGAAAGGCAACCAACAGGGTAAGGTGTCTCCATCCTCTGCCCTGGTGAGAAGATGCCAAAGGTCCCCAGGCCATGGGGAACACTCGTCAGAGCACTGCCAGCAGCACGGACATGTCCTTAACCACAGCTCTCTGCCACCCCACGCCCCAACCAGGTGTGCTCAGAAGCTGAAAGAAGCCAACTGGGAAGAGCAGATCTGGGGAGGATTTTCCCCTTCTCCTGGGACACTGCTGAAGGTTTTGGTGCCTGTTGGCTACAGGGCTGCCCATGGTGCATGCACGGCTGGGAGGAGCCAGCTCTTCCCAGAGCATCTCCCCATCCTACTGGGTGATGGGCTGCCGTGGAGCATCTATAGACTCATTTTGGTACCACCATCCTCAACCACATCATGAAAGCATCAGATTTCAACCTGGAGCTCCCACCATGCTGGGAATCAATAGGAACCTTGAAAACACCCAAATCACCGAGGCTGGTGGTGGGCTGGGGGCAGCTGTTGCCTCTCCAACCCCAGAAGACCATTCCACTCACTCCTCACCCCATCCACGTTGTCCCCCCACCAAAGCAGGGTAGGGTTGCATGCCTTTTTTTTTGGCTGTAACCCCTGATTTGAAGCACCTGAAGTCCCCCACTGACAGCGGCCTTCCAGGAGAAGGCTGCTCCCTCTACGCACCAAACTCGGGAACCCAAAAACTGCCTGTGAGAAACTACCACGTCCTAGGGATAAGATCCACCAGGGGTTACCTCCACCCCAGGGAGGCCTGGACAAACATATTCCAGGGGCAGAAGAAGCAAGGGATGTCTCGACCAGCAAAAAAAACACCAACCACCAAAGCTTTGGCCCTGTGTGCCACTCTGTCACCATCCCACGAGCGTGGCCCCGGTGGAGGTATCGCCATTGGAAGCGGCCCAGAGACTCTGTGAAATCCCCTTCAAAAGAAACAAAGTAAGTATTTATTTCTATACAAAACAAAGAAGAAGAAAAGAAAAAAAAAAAAAAAAAGAAGATTTTAAAGGAAAACGATATACTCCGCATGTTTATACGCTCTATGCTTAAAGACTGTCCCACGGGAGAGCCGTGTCTGAAGACTGCAGCCACGGAGCATCGGAGGGTGACACAGCCACGTGGGATGTCCCCATCCCCATCTCCACGAGGGTTTTGTCACAACAGAACAACCTCACCCCACATCGGTGCTGAGATCAGACCAAGCCATCCGCCTCCCCTCGGTACCTTCCCAAAAAAGTCAGATTTCTGGCTTTGCAAAGCCACGTTTTTACCAAAATCCCGTGTCACAGGAGGATCTGAGCCAGTTCAAGGCTCTGAAGATGGGAAATGAGCTTTTTCTCCACCTTTCTCAGTGCCTGGGTTTGGTTGTCTCCCTTCCTCCTCCTCCTCTTCCTCAGCTGGGGATGGAGGTATCTGACACAGTGACAGTGGTGGTAACGAGCGCTGTGTCTCTCCAGCCCTCCCAGTGTCCCCTCATTGCCCAGGTTGGTAATGGCAATTAGCTCGTTAACGGCTCTGTACTCCTTCCACTCATTGATTCCCTCCCCATCCCACCAGCGTGGCCCCACTGGGTGCCCATGGCCATGGTTTTCACCACCACAGCATCAGCTCAACCCCACACCAGACCCCAGAGAAGCCCCTCGGGGGCTCTGCGATGACAATCCCCAGCAAATCCAGGGGTCCCACGGTGAAGAAAGGCAGTGATAGGCTTTAGCTTGGGATCCTGGCAGCTTCCCACAGTTTGGAGGAGCTCTTTCTTTTCTTGCCCAAAGTTCTTCCATAGCCAATGTTAGCAGCATTCTCCTTCTCCTGAACTTTGAGGCTGGACAGGGGTCTCAAGAGGAACAACACCAGCAAAGCTTGGGGGCCAAATCCATCCCAAATCCATGTTTTTCTGCCTCTCTTGTGTGTTGGGTTTTGTGTGCACCCATCAAGGAAGGTGACACGGAGCCCTGGCTGGGGTTGGCTCCATCCAAGGATTTCAATGGTCAAGCAAACAAGGCAGGTGGCAAGAGAAAAATATCCAAAAGGTCAACAGGGCTCACAAGTCAGAAGGCACAGAACTTACGTGGCCAAAAAGGTCTGAATTCAGTTTAAAAACAAAACGAAACAAGAAACAAAAAGAGCCACGAGAAATGTTGATAAAGGCTCCTCTCAAAGCAGTTCTTTCAGCTCTAAGAGGAGCCAAGATGAAGCTGGCAGCGTGGGAGTTGGCACATGGCTTCTTCCTATCATTTTGGGTTGAAAACCTGCAGGTTCAGGTGGAGTAAAGCATTTGGGAGCCGGTGCCAAATGACAAAATGCTTTAAAAAGAATTGAGGAACGGGGAGCAGGGTGACATTAGCAGCTGGAAATGGCTTGTCGCAACCAAAGCGCAGCAGGATGGTGGCACAAAGGAGAGCAGTGGCAACGAGCGACTGCCCCACGGCAGCAAAGAGATGGGAGAACTGCCCAAAAACAGAAAGATGGGGTTTTCTGATCCAGCCCCAGGCTGGGGCCGGGGACAGGCATGTGCAATGGTAGGGGTGGGTGGAATTGCTCCAGGGTGCGAGCGCAGCAACGCACATTGCTTTGAGATAATCAGAGAACATGCGCCCCGACGGACAGCTATCCAGAATGGCAATCGTTTCCCTCAAGCACTTCTCCTGGTGGCAGCTCAGCCCCAGAGAGCCGTGTCTGAGGCGCCCTGTACAGCCTGCCCCCTCCTGGAAGGTAGCGAGTTGGCCTCCTAAGTTATTTTTTTAACTCTATATAAATCTAGGTCTATTTTAGTCTTTCGCAGCGATGTGCCAGTGTCTGGAGAACCAAACGTCCCTACCCCCCATCCCACGGTCACCCTGACCCCAATGCTCAGCGTGCTGGAGAAGGGGACACGGGGGTGGCCTTGGGGGCAGCAGAGGTGTCCCCAAGGAGCTGCTGCCCACCCGTGGTTTTAGCACTTTGGTTGGTACTATCACCTGTAGACGCACTTTGATGTTGTTGCTTTGAAACTTTGCCGAGTGTAAACAATGTGTATTTAAAGAATTACAGGAAAAAAAAAAAAGGAAAAAAAAAAAAAAAAAAAGGTGTAAAGAGCTTTTTTATGATTCGGTGTTGAATAAAGGCTCTCAAGAATGAGGTGGGGGTCTTGGCTCACACAGGTGGCACAGCAAGCACAGGTCAGTGCTCGGCCCGAGTGCTCAGCAAGAAACCAGTGGCACCAGTCACCCACTCAGGGCTTACTGGAGGCAGAGTCCTCCTCCTAATTTCCTTTCTCTTGAGGGCACCACCTCCACTCCCCAGCTCACGAAGCGAGTTGAAATATCACTGAGCAGCATCAAATAAGTGCCAGTTATAAATGGGAAGGTTGTGGGAGGTGGGGATGGCCTCTTCTCCCAACAGGCAATGGGGTTAAGTTGCACCAGGGGGCATTCAGGTTGGAATTAGGAAACTTCTCTGAACAAGCAGTCAGGCACTGGCACAGGATGATGCTCAGGGAGCAGGGGGGTCACTGTCCATACAGGTGCTCCAGAACCATGGGGATGTGGCACTTGGGGACATGGTCAGAGGGCACAGGGGGTGGGTTGGGAATCTTAAGAGGTCTTTTCCAACTTGAATGATTCAGTGACTCTATGAACAAATGTAGAGATGAAGCACTGTTACACACTGGAATCAGTCCTACTTCCCAGTACCATGAGTTTTAAGAACAGGACAGAAAACAGTTTGCAAGCTACCCGAACCACAAGCTGTTACCTCAGAAAAGAAGCCAAGCTGGCCACCAAAACTCTGCCATTGTTTTATTGTTTGAACCTGGGTTCAAAACCCCCAGCAGAAAGACATATAAATATCAACCAACCGTAGGCACACCCACCAGTGTCAGAGAGGGCTCTGCTCAGCACGAGGTGAGCCTACAGGCATCAGTGCTGTGCACGAAGGGCTGGGCCACGACACCTCACGGGAGGCTGCCGCCGCACACGCCAAGATTTGACTCTAATTAAACAAGGCCAGCGGTCGCCCGCGAGCCCTCAAAACGACCATCTGGTAAACGACCTCTTAATTAAAACTAGGAACCAACTCTTTCCCAATCTGCACGTCGGAGGTGAGCGCCAAACCCCGTCAGGACAGAGCCACGAAGCGGGGTCTCAGTGGTTGTGGGGTCTGCCCCGACCCCGGCCCCGACCTCCAGCTGGGGCATCCACTGTGGAGCGAGGGTTCTTGATGGTTTCATCTACTGACACAATAAGACAGGCGGCCTCGGAGGCGGCCGTCAGCGCGTTGATGCGCACAATGGCCGGCTCCCACACACAGGCCTCAAAGTTATCGGCGATGTCCTCGTTGTTGACATCCACACCGTACCACATGCCTCCCTGTGGGAGAGGAGGGAAGAGGGTCTGGTTACACGGCACAACGGGACCCGAGGGCAGCGCACTGGCAAGCAAAGGCATGCAAATACTTCAGGAGAGGCAGAGAGCAGCTGGCAGTGTTCCTTCACACGAGGGGATGAAGCGACAGCAGTCAGAAAACAGGGCTTAAAATGGGAAGTTTGCTCCGCTTCACAAAGAAGTCATAGAAGACTTTGTGACTGCTTTCCACCTCAGCAGTGAACCACAGAACGGCCTGGGTTGAAGAGGACCACAATGATCACATGTTTTCAACCCTCCTGCTATGTGCAGGGTCACCAACCAGCAGCCCAGGCTGCCCAGAGCCA